CATGCGGGTCTTCTCCCCATTCTCAGTTGAAAGAAGGGTGCTGCCTATGTGTACGTTTATAATAAATATTGCTTGCTACCAACTTCCAGGATAAAAACTGTCCTCAGCTGTAGGATATGGTCCCCTGGCCAACAGCACCGAGCCAGTCCCGCTTCCAGACCCATCCCCAGGCCATGGGGACCCTTCCTGGCTGCGTTCTGCAGTCCTGCTCCTGCTGCACAGCTCTGTTACACAGGGTGACAGGTCCTGCACTCCCAGATGGAGCAGTTGGGTGCAGGGTCGCCACAAGCCAACTTTCCTCGCCTTGTTCTCAGACCACTGCCTCCACCGGTTTCCATCTCACCTTCTGGTTTACTTCTGCTCCCGCAGGTCTTTCCGCTGCCTTCGTCTTGCTTGGGCTGTTCTTCTTTGCTGCGGTGATAGCAACTGCCCAGGCGGCAGCAGCAGTGGTGTGGAGACCAGCAGCTTTTAGCCGCTTCAAAATCAAAGCGTGTAAGTTGCTGTTTATGATCTAAACTTCTGGTGGAAAAGGCCTGACAAGAGCCCAGGAGTAAACTCCTTAGGTTTTCACTCCCAGGAGGGAGCGGAGGCTCGGCATGCTGCTGTGGCACACATCCAGAGACATTGCCCACGCCTTGCTCACCCTCCCGCCGAAGCCCGGCTCCTCCATGGGCCAGCCTGCAATCCTTATGCATTTTTCTCTCATCCGTCAGCAATTTTTCCCTCTCCCAGGGCACCGTGTCATCCGGAACTCTACAGCCCCCACAACACTGATCGTCAACTTGTTGTTCACCACCATCTTGCTCCACAATATCCAGCAGCTCCATGGTAAGGGGTGGCCTGGGTTTGCACCGCCCGTGCCCTTGCTTGCCTTTCTTCTGGGGAGCGGTGGGATATCTGGGGGGGGGGTTGGCTTCACACAGGGCAGAGAGAGCCCTTAGGTGGTTTTGCATGGCTGGTCCTGCAAGAAACCTTGTTGTAGTTGACGTAGTCGTGGCAGCTTCGCACTGAGAGGGGAGGTCGTAGCTCTTACTTAGCAAAGCAAGGTTCATCACGGTGGCTCCATGATTTGAAACACAGGGATCCCCCCCTTTCTGTCACATAAGAAGTCCCTGGATTAAATTCATGGTGCGTAAGTGTTCAAAGGGGGGTGTTGGCCAGAGGAGCAACTCCTGACAAGTTCTCCCTTTCTCTTTGGCAGAGCGAGGCTGCTCGGAGGCCGTTGATCTGACGACCAGCTGTGTCCTTGCTGCTGTAGCGGTCCTCATAACGCTGCTGCTCCTCCTCCTCCTATGGTGTAAGTAGCCCTGCAGTTTCCTTCCAGGAACCGTAACGAGTGGCTCGGCCACTAAGACCCCCCCCAGGCCCAGCTCTCACACCCTCCCCTGGCAGCGGGCATGAGGAAAGAAGCTTTCAGTTAGATAAAAGCCAGACTTTTCTTTTAAAGAGCGGGACTGTCCAAATCAGCTGAGGACCCAACTCTGGTGTCCATCCTTTTAGGAAAGCCACAGTAGGCACTGGTCCCTGCCTGCGGTCCTTGCCAGCACCTCTGCTTTGTCCACGGGTGCTCAAGGGAAGCGAGTTTCTCCTCCAGAACCTCCTACCGTGGTCTTCCCTAGCGATAGCCATACCCTGGGCAAAAAAACCTCAGCTATGGCAAACTTTGGGAGGAGAAAACTGTCTGATAAACAGGCAGAAATAGGTCTGGGAACATCTTATGACCCAGGAGAGCAGCTGACCAGTCATCCCAGTGAAGTGGGGCTTGCAGAGTGAGGTCAAGTAGTTCATTTTCCATCCCTCCAGCTCTGGGATGGGAGGGAAGAGATCAGGGACGTGATTTCCACGTGTCTACTGTGGTTTTTTCCAGCTTCTCCTTTTAAAGTTCCTGGTTTCTGTGGTCTCGCCATGTGAATCCCCTCATTGCCATGATTAGCAATTGTATCTGGCCTCCCCCTGCACAGGCTCTGCGGTGGCCTGGTCTCGAGGGCCGGCTGGCCATCCCAGTGGGCTTCCCGAAAGCGCTGGCTCAGCCTTCGGGAATCACATGTAGCATCTCGGGGAACTGGTAAGAAGGAGGGTCAATAGCCTGTTGAGGAGAGGATGCCCTCGGGGAAAGGATTGAAAGGGGACTCTCATGCTTTCCCAGAGCATTTCCAAGTCTGAAATATAGGAAATATTGCACCGAGTCCATACAGCCCAAGGGAGGCAGGTTAGAGCTGCGGGGCTTGCAGGCAAGGAGGGTGTCGTAGGCAGAAGTCCACTCTCCATGCTGCCTTCTTGCTTTCTGCCCCCCCCCAAAACGGGGTTCTCCTGGTTTTGGAAACAGAGGGGCTCTGCCCAATGAAAGGCTCCCATCTTCATTGCTCCCTGCAGCAAGATTGGTTTTGAAAACAGAGGGGCTCTGCCCAATGAAAGGCTCCCATCTTCATTGCTCCCTGCAGCAAGATTTTCTTCACCCGTCCCATGAGATATTGTCCTGGTTTCAGCAGGGACAGAATTAACTTCCTTAATTCTGGACTGCGGCCCAAATTGCCGGGGCGTTGTTGGGAACCCAGGAGTTACTTGGCCTTTCCTTTATTTCCAGATCGCAGAAACAAGCAGAAGGAAAAGATGATGGAAAACCAGCACGCCATCCAGAGCACACAAGTCATGGCCACCTTGGTAACTCACTGCCATTAGCTGGTTCCCTGCTATTGCAAATCCTTATTATTTAATTATGAGTATTTAATTCATAATGAATATTTATGAATATTTAATTCATAATAACAAGGAAGCCTCTGCCTGCCTTCCTGCAGAATGCTATGGGCTTTGTCCTCACCCTGGGGGGGACACAGCGAGCCTGCTGGTGGCTGGTGCCGTAGTTCAGCTTGGTCCTATGGGACCCGTGGGGTCACTGCCACGTCCCGGGGAGCTTTCCTGGGTTTGGGGGTGCGGTGGACGATGCCCCGAGCACTGCAGTTTCACCCGCCTGTGCCAGCACTGCAGGGACGTGCTCGGCTGCCCGGAGAAACATCTTGGTGTCCCAAGTATGCCAGTTCTCAGGGCTGCTGCAGTTTGATTTGGGTAAAAACATACTCTTCTACTACACCTAACCCAAAACAGCTACAAGTAAGACACAGAGGAAAACCACAAGTCCTTTACTCACAACATCAACACTGAATACGCACGCCTCCTGTATTCGCTTCACTCTCTCCCTTTTCCACCCCGCCCTGTCTCGGAGAAACCTCCCTCCCTCCCATGCCGGCACTGCCAGCGCAGCCTCGCCGCGGCCGGGGCAGACTTGCCCCAGCCCCACCTTCCTCTCCTGCCTCCTTATTTCAGAAATGCCAGAAGGATTTGAGGGTCGGGGAGCCCCCCCTTACTTCCCCTGCAGCTGAGCCTTAGGCTTGATGTCGGCACGGGGGCTGATGCTGCACCCCTGTATTTCGGGGGTGCTGGCGCATGTGCAGCTGCAGCCTTCCCCCACCTCTGGAGGGGGTCACGGTGCGGTGCGGGGGGGGGGGGGGGGTCTTTCTTCCCCCCT